TGCACATGCAACTATAGACCTATCTCACTCCTTTCTATTTTTGACAAATTATTAGAAAAGTTAATGTATAAGAGACTATTAAATTTTTTGAACAAAAATAGAGTCTTATTTGAAAGGCAATTTGGTTTTCGCACCATGTATTCAACTGAGTATGCAATTTTATCAATTGTAGATAAAGTACAAAAAGCAATTGACAATCGTAATTATGCATGTGGAATATTTTTGGATTTCAATAAGGCTTTTGATACTGTTAATCATGAAATTTTAATTCAGAAATTATCTTGCTATGGGGTAAGGGGCGTTGCTTGCAAGTGGTTTATCTCATACTTACGTAACAGAAAGCAATTTGTAACTATAAATAATGAAACATCAAACAACTGCCCAATCAGCTGTGGTGTTCCACAGGGTTCAGTTTTAGGACCTTTACTTTTTCTACTATATATAAATGACTTTCAAAATTGTTCTAAATTATTTGAATTTACGCTATTTGCTGATGATGGTAATTTGTTTTTTGAGGATAATAACTTATCCTCTATGGAAGCAAATATAAATTCTGAATTGGTTAATATTGACAATTGGTTGTGTGCAAATAAATTGTCTCTTAACATTGAAAAATCTAATTATGTAATATTTCATGCTAGACAGAGAACTGTTAGAGATAACTTCAACTTGTCAATGATGAACCAACCTCTTAAGAGAGATACTTCAATCAAGTATTTGGGTATTCTTATTGATTCTAATCTCAGTTGGAAAAGTGAAGTAGAAAGTATTGCTAAAAAAATAAGAAGGAGTGTTGGTATAATTTCAAAACTTCGTCACTATGTTAATAAAAAAATACTATTAAATCTTTACTATTCACTGATTTATCCTTTTCTAATTTATGGTTTACTAGCGTGGGGAAATACTTATAAAACAACATTGAACCCCATCCATATTCTTCAAAAGAAAGTTATTCGAATTATAACTTTTTCTAAATTTGATGAGCATACAAGTCCACTGTTTAAGGAACTAAAAATCCTTAAACAAAATCCTTAAACTAAAAATCCTTAATAAAACGGCTTTTTGGGATTGAAAAAATTTTTTTCAGTTAAATTAGTTTAAAGCAAAATCAGCGACCATATGGAAATGTCATGTTATATATAATATCAAGGGCAGTCACGTCAAATTTGGTAAAAATTTCTTACACTTCCGGTAGAATTTTGTATAACTCAGACATATTTGTTTTTCCACAATCAACAATTGTTCAAACTTTGGCCCTAAGTCGTAAATTTTTCTTTTGCCGTTGGGAGCCATATATATTTTTATTTGAATTTTGTAATAAAATAGTGTTTAATTCCAGCCTCCTGGCAACGGGATTCTCACAGTGCCATTATCAACTGCTTCACAAAGAACAATAATTAATGTGCCATATCTCTGGAATATTACCAACTTAAAAAACCCTTTCCAGACATTTTATGGAGCCACGTCCACACTTGAATTTCACTGGCGGTCCACTGAAGGTAACACCACATAATTATTAAAAATAATTATCAAATATTGATTATGTATATATTACATCACATACGAATAAACTTACTAATCCACTGGGAAAAATTTTGAAAATCCATATAAAGGCCATAGAATGGAAATTGTATGGACCTTCATTGGAAATAGAATGGATTTTGATTATCCGTAATAATTGTATGTTTCCATACAATGGAAATAGTATGGATATACTATGGGTTTAGTGGTGCAATTGCAAATATCATAGTATGGATTTTCACATTTTTTCCCATTGATCACAACCGCTATTCGACCTTTGTGCAACGCCTAATTATTCCGGAGATAGCAAAGCCCGGGGTTAAGGAATTGTAACCACTGATCAACGCTAATCCTGGTTTTCGAACAACCGGTCAGGTTTACAGACATTTATTAATTAAACATTCAACCTCGTACCCGGGGTCCTGTGTTTAAAGGTACCCTGGGTACGAGGTTGTTAAGCGCGTAATTTTGCTGCCCCTGGCCCTATACTACTGCGATTGGGTGACCCCAAGGCAGGGAGATCCATGAAGCTCTGACAATATGAACATTTTGCCAGTCGTTTAGAAGCCAGTTTTAATGGGTTTCTTAAACTAGAAATATAAATATAGGCTTATAGCAAAATACAAATAACACAATGCAGAAATTGTTTTTGACAGAAACAGTGAAATGTTTGCCAGTGTACTTATGCACGTACAACTTTAAATGTAACATTAAATCTTAAATTTCCCACATCTTGCTTTTCTTTCAACTAACTCGTTGATCATTTTGTCAACGGAAAGCTTTATTGCCTCCTCTGTCTCTGTTGAGATCAGGTCAAGCGCATCTAATCGGTATTGTGCGACAGATGACTTAAGGCTGAGATAAGTCTTAATTATCTTCAACTTATCTGAACGATCTCTCTGCTGACTGCTGTAGCAACTGTTACAGGTAGAGTTAATGCACTCTTTATTTTTTTCAAATTATCGGTCATCCCGAGCAATTTTTCAATTCCTTCAAACAGAACCTATGTCATGCACTCTTTATTTTTTTCAAATTATCGGTCATCCCGAGCAATTCTTCCTTCAAACAGAATCTATATGACAAAACTTCTTGAGTCAAATCATTAGCATATAGTCTTCTGGGGTTTCAAACTTGGAACACAAGTCAAACTTGTAAGTAGAAATCAGATTATTGGCAGCGCAACAGACTCACTCATTAGCTGTCATCGTCAATATGCTCTTTGGTGCCAAAAAATTGAATGTCTTAGCAACAAGAAAGGTCTGATCTTTGAACCGTTCTTCTAGATGCGATGCAGCCGTGTCAATAACTTCAAAAGAATACTTCGACACGGAATTTCTTCTCTTGGTTTGGGATGAGTTCATCTCTTGCTTCTTCGTCAAAAAATCTACGAACTTTCATTGTTCTCTTTTCAATAAAAGAGGATACAGGAATGCCAACTTTAAGAGCAAACACTGTAGATTCTTTTAGAATTTCATTCGATTGGCCTCTCATCTCTCTAACACTATTCGACGCTCTTCTCAATTCACTGGCAGATTTTCCTAGATCTACTGCCATTGGCTCCAAAGACATTCCATATTTCCATTCTACATTTGTACTTTGCCTTGTTTTGCTTCAACTTCTGATGTCACGTCATACACCAACTGTGCTGGTTCTGTGGTGCATTTGATACAGAAAATCTTAATCTGAAAAGTTCTTAATAGCTTTACGAAACGGAAATTAGATGAACAATGTCCCCGGAAAACTCAGTTCAAGGTGCCCCCTTGGAAGGATGGCTGTCCAATTTTGTTTATGTTCAAAGTATGGCATGATAATTCCATATCGAAACGTCGAGACTTATTTGCCGTCGTTATAGATCCGGGCAATATATAACACGTATACCGGCGGTATACACGTATACCGCCTTTCCCTAGGCCCTAGTGCGCACATGAATCTGGCACAAACGTACGCTTCGTACGGTCCGTAAAGCCATTTCACAGTTCATACGGACCGTACGGACCGTACGGATTTGTCGGATCGTGAATCGCCGTACGAACGGTACGATCCGTCGAACTGTTGGTAGATCTGGGCAACAAGCATCTGCTATCGGAGACCATCTATTGCGTTTACGAGTTGATACGGATCGTGACTCGTGTTTACCGTCCGTACGAATTTGACGGATCGTGAAGCTGCTTCACGATCCGTATCATGTCGACAGTATTGGACATGTATGCTTGGAAGCCCGATTGCCTGAGTGCCCCCGGCTCTAACCAGGTAGAGCTCATAGGAGTTCAACCTCGTTCTCAGTCTGGGAACGAGGTTGATAGGAGTTACGCCACTGTCTTACGAATTTCCTTTATAATCGTTAATGCACTTGATAGGAATTTATTTTGTGTAAAAGGTTTTTGTAAACTGTTTTCAAAACAAGACAACTGCAGTGAGTGTTAAAGGATTAGTGTCACCAGGGACGCCGGAGAGGGGCGTAAGGCAAAGATACTTTTTTATTTTAGTAAAATACTTGAGATGTTTTACAAAATAGGTACGCACTGTGTACATGTGGCTAGCTTTGTAAACGTAATAGTATAATACTAGAAATACATACATGCAACAACCCCTGGCCTATATTTTCCAAACATTGATTTAACATGAAGTATTACCACGATTTCCTATAGTAAATTAATCCTTCTCAACGTTTCCCATGTGGTCACTCCATGGTGTCGCGGGCTTTGTTTTATGTTACTTAAAATCAAGAATAAAATAAAAATGCCTTGCTTGGTACATTTCCAATAATAATCAAATAAAAGGATTCTCAAAGGCTGGTTTAAATATAATATACGACGGATTAAAAAAAACTTTTTCAAATCTGTCGGCCTATATACTCGGCCATAAATTGGCCGCCAGTAGGAATGTGAGCCCGAAAAAATGTTATGAGATTCTCTAGTAGTCAACACTGCATCTCAAAACGTGTTCAAAGCATATATGTGTTCTTATATGCATTTTGTTTTTTTATTTGTTTTGGCCCAGGTGAAGAGGGTTTTCAATTGTTAACATGGTCTAAAGATCAGATGCTGAAATTATGGAACCTGGACCCACGTTGTTGGCAAGTATGTATAGATTTGAAAAACTCATTAATAATTCATGAAGAAAACACAAAGAAAAATCATAAGCGTGTCGTATCTGTATATGTGATACAGATTCATGTTGATTTACATAAACTTTAACTTTGATTTTCTCGGCTTAGACAACGTTTATTTTTAAAATTACTTCGCCAATGAACTCATGAGATGAGTCGTTTTTTAAGTTGTTACAACATTCGCGTCCGTGTTGTATCGGATATACAAACTCTCGGCTTCGGCTCGAGTTTGTATATCCGATATAACCCGGCCGCTCATGTTGTAAACGTTACATGTTTAACAAACAGATAGTATTTTGCCAGTGTCTTTCTTTAACAATAGGGACCTTAAGGTAATTCCGCAATTTCGCATTGCGCACTTTTACTGCGCACATCTTATAACTTATAATTTCATCCATTATACGTACCGTTTAAAAAAAAATATTTTATGACAATTTTATGTTACTTCAAAACATCTTTGGTTAGATTCGTGCAAAGAATTACGTTAAAATCAATGTTTTCAAAAAAGGCATACAAAAGTGTAGCTAGGGTTCCCTGTGTCTGTAGTATATTTATTTACTTGTATTTCACGTTTTAATGCCACAATTCCCCGATCGGTGACCCCCGTCTTTTAATTGATAATTTATTTCTTTAATGCATTTTACATTTCATATCCGAAATTAAAAGAAAAGTCATTTCTGGATCTTGAAAAAAAATCCTTTATCAATGCATGTTCTCAAAGAAAGATATGTAAAGAAATGTGGAAAAGACATTTGTGGATCAGAATTGTACACGTTAGTAGTTTCATTTTGCTCAAAACACAATATTTTTTCCAAACTAATTACAAGATAGGTTTACTAAACCAAAATCCGCGCTAAAAACGTCAATAAATATCGGGCTGTTGTGATTTTGCTGTTACTCGTAATGAGCGTCAAGATGGCGCCATATTGGGGTAAAGGTGGTATATTGTGATTGTCATATCTTCTTAACGAGTTCGGTGACCCCGACTTTTTTGTGTGATTTTACTTTAAGTATATCATAAACTCCATGCCTGGAAAGTTTCAGCACATTCTCATTTCGGGAACAATTACTGCGGAATTACCTTAAGCAAACAGGACGACAACACGACGACGACGGCTATTCACACTATGATATTCCTGATCTCGTACAAAAGAAATGAATAATTAAAAGACCCACGGGAGTTAGAGACGTTGTGTTAGGGCTTTTTGCAACGGCAAACCAGAGATTTTCACGTCTCCTGTACAACGCAAACATGTCAAGACGCGACAAGTGAAACTACAAATTTGCTCAGCAGAAGCGTTTTTAACCATAAAGCCTTTGTTTTAATCTCTTCAAACTGAACTCAATTCATATATACATGCAGTGGGTAATACATAACAACACTTCTTCGCAATAATTTATTTGAAGAAGTTTGTTTTGGTTGTCGTCGTCGCGTTGCCGTCGTACATGCTTATAATTTAAGGTCCTTAATTACTACGTGCAGACGATATCAGACTTGTTGGAACAACTTGTTGCGGGTCTGTTGGTCTCATCAACCTTGTTACAAGGTGATAACAACTTTTTACTGACTTGTCAACAACTTGAAACTAGCAGTGCGAACACATCTTGTTGAAAAGCTGCGCGTAGTGAATACGAAAGCCCTCTTTTCCCTTCCATTCACCCGCTTCTAAGGAAGGGAAAATAGAGCCTGATACTCCACTTAAGTATGGTGCTAAATGAACTGAGCTAACCAAAGATATGTTTGTTTTCTTCGAAATTTAGCTGACTACAGCTCAAGACATACGCGAAGAACATCCTTTGTTATCTCCTGAAGTGCCAGAGTTTTTGCCAAATTCGTCAGGTGATGATGATGCGATAGAGAGCAACGCCAGTAGTGATAACCTTATGTTACCTGCTGGTGGAAAACCCAATAATTTGGATGAAGAGATCGCGCAAGCTTGTAATGCTTTTTTCAGTGTTGTCTGGGAAGAGGTAAATGAGAATATATGTATGGAATCTGATATATTATAAAACTGGATATATCCGTAGTGAAATAAAATATATTTGTATATCCGTAAAGAAGTAAAAGCCTCCGTTACTCGATCAATCAGGCTCCCTTTTTCACCAGCTTTGGATAAAACTTCAAATTGTGCGTGGGGTTCGTGAAAGGTGAAAAATGGCTGAGGTTTCTCGGATCGATGTTTTTCAGTTTTTGTCGTTAATACTCTATACCTAAAAGGTTAAAACTAATTGAAGCAGGTGAGTCCATATTTTTCCGTGTTCTGTCCATATGCCTTAAAAATGGTCCAGAAACGTTTTCTTGTGTTTTCCTGCGGTTTTTTACCCGAATTTTTTTTTTCACTCATCAAATAACTATATATGCTTTTTATGACGAAGTGTTGCTAGAATTTACTTTTTCTGAAAGGCCACTTGCTCTAGGTTCTTTGGAGTGAAATAAAGTCCGACTTCATTTTCCGCCATCTTTGGCTTCAAACACAAAACTATGTCACACCAATATTGGTGCCTCAGGTCTCTTTTTCCAGTGTTCTGAAACTCATCAGAAGTTGTTTGGGAGGCTATGTACTCTATTTCTCGCAGATATTTGCTTGATAATAAAATTAATAAGCACTTTTCCATTGGTCAACAATCCGACAGATTTATAGTTTCTTCTCATTGTAAAAATCCTAGCGCCAAAATTTGTTCAAAGGGATGTTCTGTGTTCGTTTTTAGATCAGTGGTGCAGATCACTATGGTTGTAAATAACTGTGGAGTTTGTAGGAATTCACTTTAGTAAAAATATATATATTGCTATAATACTCTTTGCGTCCACGTCATTTCGAAAAAAATCATGTTGCCTTTTTTAGTCTAGGCATGCCACGAATGAAGTTTGGTCAACACTTGTTTCCACATACCAAACTGACATGACGTCATTTTCGGAAGATGGAAGAGGTGTTAAATGGCTATGAAACGAATCCAAATTCCCTACCTCTAACACAATTAATAAAAATAATGCAAAAAGAAATAACTTTAGAAATTGATCAAATGACATAACGTCAGTTTTGTAGATGGCAACAAGTGAAAACCATTCAATTTATTCTCAACTACGCCAACATTGGGGGGGGGTGCGCTTCATTTATAGAATATATGTGGTGTAAATGTTAATTTGCTCAGTGTTTTCAATAAGAGGCGGTTACCGCCGCCTATTTCGCCTCTTACAGCCGGTTATTTTTTCCTTTACTGTAATTTTCTAGCGACATTAGATTGTATGATTTTATTGAAAATAGTATAAAGCAAGTAACTAGGGATCCAAGGATAGTGTAAAGTTTCAAATTGAAAAAGACACGGCAAGAACTGTATAAGGTCGCCGACAACCTAGAACAGTAAGAGCAGGCATAGGCTAAAGCAACCATAGGCTAGAGTAGGCACGTTACTCAAAAATGTGGATTAGAACAACGTTTTTTAGGGGATAAACAATTCCTTATCACTCCCTTCGTAACTCGTTTATTAAATGTTTAATTGCAAGAGCTCTTATTTGGGCATGACGACTTTCTGTTTTGTAAAGTTGATGGCTTACACTACGAAATAAACAGTTACCATGATCCTCTTGGAAAGCATACTCATGCATGTCTTTTCAAAAATGGACTTGAAGCCGTACTATTACCTACACTAATCCTATACAGATGAGTATTATATTAAAAGTTAATGTTATCACTAAAACCAAGAGCAACATATTATTACAAAAGTTTAAGGTGGGGAGAAGAAAGAAGTCCAAATCATGCAGTCTTAAATTTATAGCATGCATGCAGATTGCTTTTTACTGAAAACCTAAAAAAGGGTTGAAATTTGGCTTTCACTTGAAATTTTTGAACGCAGACGCCTATTTTTGAAATGCAGCCTGCTATGATGATTATTATTGAAAACACTGAATTTGCTTATAATAGAAATGGACACGCGCGTTGAATGGCAGTGTAGCAATACAAGATATATAAGGTATTAAGGTATACAACTAAAGCTGATCACATAATGCTTTATAGATTGATATCACGAACCGAAGTTGCACGATATCTGTGAAAAGTGGCAACAACAACCTGAGGATAAATATTACATTTCCAGAGCTCTATCCTGAGAATGCTGTTCCATCTTTTGAAATTACAGACGACTCTCCTGTCGATTCAGCAACCAAGGTCAAAATACGAGAGGTATAAACTATATATGGTTTTGTGCCAGCCGATTTTTTCTCCATTCCATTTTAAACGTTTTGTCTAATCAGCGATAACATTGCGTATCGTAAGATAATTTGGTCATATGGAGCCCAAAGAATCTACTATAATTTCAATTATAGCAGACATGTGTTTTTAGAAATCTATCCCCCTATCATCAGCATGACTTAAAACAAAATGCACTTTTCAATTCAAATTCTCCCAGATCCCCTTAGCAAGATTCTCATCGCGTTGCCTCGAATTTAGTTCTTATCAACAGCAAGCAGCAGTCCAATAAACAAAACATTACTTAATAGCATTTAAAATACTAACTTTCCATGTTTAGATCTTACGGGAAAACGCTCAGTCATGTCTCAAGAACAACGAACGTTGCTTAGAGCAATGCTTAAACAGCTTGCTCACATGCATAGAAGATTTAAAGGTAGTTAAAGATGTAATATGTGCAGCATGAGCGAGATAAGCGATACCGACAAAGAAAACGTCCACTGGAAAAAAAGTGAAATCCATACTACGAAATTTGCAATTGCACCACAAAATCCATAGTATATCCATACTACTTCCATACTATATCCATACTATGGAAATATACAATTATTATGGATAACCAAAATCCATTCTATTTCCAATAAAGGTCCATACATATGCTTATAATATACAGAAAAATATTACTCAACTGTGATTGGTTGATTTCAGTGCAGTTAATCTGCAGTGCAAAATTCTGAAACAGCAGTGTAAAAGTCTGTAACAAACTGATCTGCATGATTAGTGGAAAAACAATGGGATCTAAAATCAACCAATCAGCTTAAAGCAGTCGTCAAGTAACGGTCACAGAGTGTTTCAAAACAAAGCGCCGGCCGCGCTACATGAGGTAAAAGTTGAGTTCGTGTGGAAAATATGGCATTTATCTTTTTTAAAAATGGAAAAAACTAGCAAGACTAGCCAGCCAATTTGTGTGAGTGAAAATTTCAAGCCGTTAGCATTGTATAATGTGATGTAACAAAGCGGGAAAACGTTGTCAGTAGACGGTTCGCTATAGACGTAAGTTAAAACAACATTTGCCTCGAACGTCTTTATGTATATTATTAATCCGTAAAAGGATGGTTTCTCGTGAAATTTAGATACGACAAGCACTCGTGAGTTTTTCAAATACCTCAAATAGCACTCGTCCTTCGGACTCGTGCTATTTTGATTTTCTTTGAAAAACTCACTGGTGCATGTTTTATCCAAATTGCACTCTAAACCATCGTATTATACATATACTAATAGACCAATTTCGAATTACGCTCTAATTGTCAAATAACACCAAATCGAGGCTTGGTGCTAATGCCCGGTATAGAAACATTTAACAATAAGACAACGAGGCTGAGTTGTCTAATTGTTTTAGTATAAACTCCTACTCAAAATACAAAATACAAGTACAATTTATCAGATTTAGATAAAAATTGAAACCGAACGCACGGGTATTTGAATGATTTATTTCTTGGCTTTTTTCGTGTGTTTTTCCAATCGATTATATAGAGAATAATACATGGGTGCGCGGAAATACCAGATTTATTTCGAGTGTTGAACATGATATCTCACGAGTGAGCGCAGCGAACGAGTGAGATATCATGTTTAACACGAGTTCTGTAACATCTGTTTATTATATAAAGACAGTCTTCGACAAGCGATAATTTTTATAGAAACGCGATAATTGAAAAGCGATAATTTTCACATGTGAGATTATCATGAATAATCTCACATGTGAGATTATCACTTTTATCAGTGCTCGAAATCTCTATAAAGCACTATACTTTATATAATAAATATCCTTAATAATAATCGATCAACAAAGCAGCCGTGGATAATGTGATACCTTGATAACTTTCTTTCCCGATGATATTTTCGATGCATGTGATTAAAGCGAAATTTTTCGCCAGCGGCGGCGAAATACGTGAGTGGAAAACGGGCTTAAATGACAAACGCGACTATACTCTATAGTTATCACTGCCACTAACTGATGGGGGCAGCTCTACAAAGAAAAATACAAATTTTAGTTTAGTTAAATATACAAACGTTTGACCGGTTTGAAAAGAATTAATTGAATTGGTATAATTGTAGATAACTTTTACGTGAATACTTTCGATGAGGGACTTTGGCGGAGGTAATATGCACAGTCTCAAAGTATCATCTTGTTTGGTTTACATAATTCCAGTTTTATTTTTACAGGTTGAAGATTGCGGCGTCATAAATTCTCAATTCCATCCATACAGTTTGGATACACGTGCTTTTGGTTGGCAAGATGCTGCTATTCCTTTTCCACGAACGTCGGGAGCAGCCTTTTGTGCCAATGGTATGTCGGTAAAATTTATATGTAATTCTGTATAGAAAATTGCCCATGCAACGAAGTAATAGACATATGCCCTAGATCAGAGGTTTTCCTGTTTGCTATTACCTGTAGACTGCACTTATAGGCATGAATTATTCGTTCGACTATGAACGGAAAAAACGGGTTGGCCAGATGCCCGTGTTTACATTATAAAGGAATACATTAATAAAGCGTTGGAAATATTGAATATTTTAGTTACTGACGAAGCTTTTTTTCGATACAGTTTGGAACGTTGCGTATTTTATTATTATTATTTAACAAATATAAAACATTTTCCGTGTTGATATACAACACGAGTGGAAATTGGGAAAACGAGAAACTGTGTGGAAACACGACGCCCGAAGGGCGGAGTGTTTTCACACAATTTCGAGTTTTCCCAATTTCCGCGAGTGTTGATATAACTATATATCAATACGGAAAAAATGTTTTATATTTGTTTTATAATATAGCACAAAGAAATAGAAAGAAAGAAATTTTCCGACGTTTCCATGTTGACATTGAGTTATATCAACACGGCTTTTAGCCAATCAGCGTTCAGAATTTACAAATGCTATATTATAATATTAAATCTTATTTACACACATACAAGCAACGGTAGCCCTTCAGCAAAATATTGTAGCAAATAAATAAAAAGGATCAAAATGTATACACACAGTCTTAAACATATACCCTATATACATGATATACACACCCACCCTCCCACCCATTCATATTGTGCAATATTGGAAAAATTATCAACTACATTACATACTGTGATTTGCAGTTGAGCTTAGAGACAGGAAGTTTTACCGCTCAGTTTGATCGTTGAAACGCACAAGTTACCAACGGCAAATTCAAATGTTGTCAAGCGGAAATGCGAATGTTTTCATGGGAAATTTAGGCACTTTCGGCCAATCACATAATTTCTGCGCCTTCTTCACTATGATTGGCCGAAAGTGCCTAAATTTCCTATGAAAACATTCGCATTCCCGCTTGACAACATTTGAATTTGCCCTTGGTAACTTGTGCGTTTCAACGAACAAACTGAGCGGTAAAACTTCCTGTCTCTAAGCTCAACTGCAAATCGCAGTAATTGTGTGTTTATCTGTCTCGGAGCAGAGGTCTAGATCTTGGTAATGATATTTAATTTTAAATTCAGGTGGTAATTTATTCCAGATGGTTGGGCCTGAATAGCCAATGCTTTTTTTAAGAAAATTTTTTTTTGCTTTTCAAGAGAATAATCACAATTATTATTGCGCAAATTATGTTTTTGATTATTCTTCACTTTAAACATGTTAGTAATATTTTTTAAAGATGATAAACGATATATACATAAAGATATAAACATTGCCCAAATTTTGCATCTTTCCAACTTTTTTGAATTGAAACTGTGTGAAAATATATTGTATATCAATAAAAGGCAAAAGCATATTGACTTGACTCAAACTTTTGACTCCCACTGTAAATATCGCACTTTTGACTCCCACTGTAAATAGACAGAGCAAAAACGTGAAATGAGACTGCGCCCGACCTCCGAGGAAATATAAGAAACTTTTCCCTCGCCCGCTTAGGCTATCACGTGACCAGCTCCGACTAGGGTTTTTTCTCCCCAAGAGGGAGAGCCTGGGAACGAGATTGGCGTATTAGTTTTGCGGCAGGCGGTTTTATCGCCCGCATTTTCGCAATTGCGTCTTCCGGCGCCTCGCCTTACCGCAGGCTACTGGAAGGCAGAATGTAGACTTGTTGAACAGTTTAACTCGGAAGTTCATTCAGTTATGGAGCTAATGCTCACATCAAGGACAAATGGATCAAATTTGCCAGTTTGTCTGAATTAGGATAGAAAATGTATGCGAAATTTATACAACGTGTTCTCTTTGCCTGGAATGTGTATTTCAAAAATATGCCTTGCATCATGCAAAACAGAGTGCTTTATATTTTTCAGGTATACTGGTTTGCTTCAATCGATCAACGAGATCATTAAATAGGAGAACCGAAATAACTCCAAGGTAAGAAAGTAGTTAATTAAATCAGCTAAAACCCATTAGCCATAGATTAAAGATTTTACAAATACAAGTATTTTAGAAACAGGTTTTCATTTGTAGGTTATTAGCACTGGCTTAAAAATGAGGACTGGGTACAGTGCATCTGCTATGCCTAAATGAAGCCAATGCAGGCCCTACTGGTGTGATTACCACAATTGTACTGTATTGCTGCTGACATGTTAGAAGAGGTTTCAGTTTATTGCAGGGAATGACACGTAGTGTCCACGTAGAAATTGGTAATTCCAGCGTTTTGAACGCTCTAAACTCATCAAGAACCAATCTTTCAGATTGCTTGTAGAGAAAAGCCATTTGCTTATTAGTGGAACTAATTTAAACACTTAATATATTTCGATTTGGAAATTACTTCTTATAAATATTTTGACTTCAATTGTGGTTCATTGATTTCAAAAAGCCACTCTGTCCAGTTATAGTTGTTAGAATGGTCGGGATAATATATAGCATGTTGGTAATATAATTAATTATCATTTATTTACTGAAACCGAGAGAAACAGCGTGTTTTGTGGCCCCGACACCGCCGTTGGCGAAGCCGAGGGCAACGACGGCGGTCGAAGGGCCACAAAATCGTTTCCCCGAGGTGTCAGTAAATGCGTGTTTTATTATATATAGCAAGTGTCAGTCTCAATAGTCCCCCTAGTATTCCGAAACTGTAATAAAACCGACATGCTGAAACACTTCCGGTTTTATTATTGACCGGTCAATAATTGTTTCATTATAATTGTTGACCAGTGAACATGACGTTTTGTGGACCAGCGCGTGGTACGGTTTTGACTAATCGTTAAACAGGAAAATGAATTTGGACACTTGCTATATAATAACTATGAATTAATACCTTAACACACTTTTTTAAACACTGTTTTGTTAAGGTCCCTGTCGGCTTTGTCTGCATATAGAGATTTATCCTCATTTTATAATGCAGAAACACTGAAGGTAAGTGTGACCATAGTTGGTGTGGCTTCGAAATTATAGTGGGCGCATGCAAATATATTAAGGTGGCTTGATACAATTTTTAAAAACTGTAGTAGGAAAACAAGCACGTTGACCCCCAATTTTTTCCCGCACTCTTTTACTTAGAACATAGACTAACAATAAGCAAAATATAAAAATTTGTCTTATGCCATTTGTTTTTGGAAAAACGCCAAAATGTCGTTTTTTTCATATATGTACAGTAAGTACTTTCGTTAATATTTCCGCAGACACGAATGGTCACGCGAGTAATTTGTTCATATAGTATAACGTTTTATTTTCGCGATTCTTGCCTATAAGGGATTTTGTGTGGATTAATACATCGAGCCACCTTAAGGATTTTGAAAGAAACGATTTCTTTCAAATTTTCAGAGAAAACGCATGAGAACCAATGCTACAAAAATGTGCATGTGTGATAGATAGAAAGATATAAAAGCTTGCGTTCTAGTGTATTCCCTGGACGTGAGTAAATAAATTGTTAATTAGTTGATTAAAGTTTTTATTTTTAGACTGGTGTAAAGTCAAACAGCTCTTATCGCAAAGCTTTGGTAATTTTACGTGACGCTTCGTCACTGATGGCCTTTAATCGCTCTCTAGGTCAAAATTATACGTAAGTTCCTTATTTTTGGTTTCAAGTTATCATCTTTTTCAGTGTAACGCTTCACTTTACACTATTGTGATGAGTGGCGAAAATTCACACGAATCAGTCATTCATTCATTCATTCAGTTATTCAGTCAGTCAGTCTTAGAGTAAACTTTCCGCGGGGTGTATACGATTTATGTTCGTAGTGATTTATTCTAGGCTACTTAGGCAATGAATTAAGTGCCGACATTGTTTTGACGGTATTCAAATATATAAACATTTCAGACATGAATATTGATTATTGAGAAAATCTTTGAGATTGTACGCAATATATAAATTGATGTTTTGTATTTTACCGGCATTCAATTAAGAGGCAATTTTTTTCAATGTCACGTATTTGCAATGAAAAGTGTTCAAAACCTAAAATCTTTTTGGCGTTCCTCTCAAAATTACTTTGTTTTAGCTTTATTCTCTAGTTTATAGAGTTAGCTACCTTTTTAAATGCATCTGCCAGTTGAGAAACATAAAATAATAGTTAAAAATTGTCAATTAAAATACAATTATCAATGATGCTTTAAAATTGACGCCATATTTACAGCCATATTAGCAAAACTTACTGAACTTCAGACATCATTTTCTCTTTGGCGTATCATCTAAAATCTCTTCATTTTAGCATTATTTTGCAGATAAAGCACTAAACATACTTTTTAAGTTTGTTTGCCGATTGAGAAACGTATCGAAAAATAAAAATTTTGAACTTAGTCATAACCTTAAGTGATATATTATACGCATTAGTTTTGAGCGCGTATTACGTAACATACAAAAAAATCTCTTAATATTTTAAGTGCGGATATATATTGTTTAGACCGTATATTCATTATACATCGACTGTATAAGGTGCTACACCACAAAGTATTATTATTATTATTTTCACATCTTTTAACACGGTGTCTAATCAACCCAACTATTACTAAATATATATATATATATACAAATTAAAATGGTTGCTTTTCATTAGGCCGTGTGTCAATAAGTATACCAGTTATTTACAATATTAAAAAGAAGAAAACAAAAATACAGAGATAGAGATACATTCACTCTACTTTATTCCTTTCGTTCCAAATTTTAGCTGCAGCATATCCAAAGGGGCGAACCATCGGTTTTGACAATGCTAAAAATTTATTATTGCTTCTTAAATAATATCTTTCAGAATTTGATATTTTAAACTTTTCAGCTATATTTTTCGGGCAATTTCCGGTAATAGCTTTTGAAACATACGCACTTGCTTTTTCTTTTCTTTTTACGGATAGGTTTTTCCAATTCAACTTTTTTTAAATATCTTTTGAACGTATATCATAAGTATCACCTGTAATGACCCTTGCTGGCCTGTTTTGAAGTTTTTGCAGTTTTTTCTTCAGGGATTCGCTGCAGTTGCCCCAAACCAAGGAGCAATACTCAAAATAAGGTTGAACCATCAGGGGCGGCGCTACAGGGGGGTGTGGGGGGGTGGAACTCGTCAGCTAATCGGCAAATTGTTATCTCAGTCGGCAAAACTGGATTGGCTAAAGATAACCACCGAAGAAACCAAAATTGACCTCCTGAATAATTGAATTCAAACCGAATATCACGAATAGCATGCATCAAAGAAACCACACATGCAGCAATGCAAATTTTTTCGAATACAGTATCTTCACTTCTGGCAGCTAGTCCAAAAACATAATATTATTGAAATCATAATTAGGTAATTAAATTTGTTTGTTTAAAAATACCTTACGTCAGCAAGACGTGACAAAATCAGTCCTCGAAAACGAGGTCGGCATTCGGCAATGCCGGGCTAAATGCAAATTTTTGCCCACCTTAATTCAACCAAAGTAAGAATTTTTTATGGTGATAGCTTTTAAAATGACAGCGAATTCGATTAACTGAACACACTACGGTGTAAGGTTTAAAAACTGACGGGTATTGTGTATATACGTTAGATGTTTGAAGATCAAATTTCGCGCGTCTGGAGTTAAAATTTGGCTCCAACTTTCGAATTTTCCGACTGGAGGTAACGTTCCAGTTATATTCCGATTTCAATGATTCGTAAATGCGTGATTAATATTGCTCCAAGACGTGGATCAGATTTTAAGAAATGCCAAGATGTGCCGACCTAGGTCAGATTTAGGTCGGCCCTCTTTTGCCGACCTCAATTTCGACGGTTTTGACTTTTCGAGGGCTGCAAAATGGATGCCGACAAAAGAAAAAGGTCGCTTCGCGCAGAACTGAAATTCGCTAGTGGAAAACCGCCTTAATAGAGGGTAATAAAGAGCATTTAAACATGCACATTTACTATAGATGGCCCTGAAGGGATAAAATGGGAACTGGAATTGACCTATTTTTAGACTGGGAAAATGGGATTTGGGTTGCTGGGACTGGGATTTGGCCACTGGGAATGGGAAATGAAGTCCTCAAAAATGGGAATGGGATTAAAGTAATGTGAGTCGCTTCCCAATTTTGATCCGTTTTTGGTGTCTTTAGTCATGATTTTTGTTGTTAACTATATTATTCACAGCATTACCTGCAAACAGGCATACTCTGGCGCCTGGAATTTTGGGTTTTCTGATTATGCGTGTCTCAGAATGATGCAAATGCCATTTCCGGGATTCAAATTTTAAAATTTTCTGTGCCTTCGGCACGAGCCCCCCCCCACCCCCCCTCCCCCCAATATTTCATAAAGTGTCCGCCACTTGCACACACACGTACGGTGGCTTAAAAGGTCTTAAAACTGTTTATTCTACCGATAAATAAAGGGTTTTTATTGACTGGTTTTTATTGAAATAACTCGGACTGAGATTTCTAATAAAAATCCAACTAGGACTGGGATTTTGCCAAAATTTCAGGTGGAAAATGGGATTGGGACCCCCCCCCACTTCAGGACCCTCACTATAGGCTAATGACTCGGCAAAATTACCAAACAGTCGGCAAAAGATCACTCGCACCCCACTCGAAGAGGGTTAGCGCCGCCCCTGTGAACCATAGAATTATAAAGAAATTGAAGCGCTTCTCTTTTAACAAACTGTTTAGCTCGTCGTAACATGCCGATGCCTTGAGATACTTTGTTACTTATGTTGTCTATTTGTTCATCCCAGCGTAATTGATCATCTATTATTATGCCTAAGACTTTTTCAGAAACGACTTGAGTTAAGTTTTTCCCACCGATGTTAATATTCATTTCACTTGAGAATTTTTTTAATTTCTGCCGTGTTCCGATAATCATATACTCTGTTTTACCAACATTCAAAGTTAATTTATTGGCTACTATCCACTGATGGATATTGTTCAAGTCCGAATTTAAAATGGCTTGCAAATTGTTAATATCATCGGAACACGCCGTCAAATTCGTATCATCCGCATACATTTCAGCACTAGAGTGTCTTAGACAGTTCGGGAGATCGTTGACATACAAGAGAAATAACAATGGACCGAGATTTGAACCTTGTGGAACTCCACAGCGTATATTTTTTGTTGACGATGCTGCACTTCCCACCTTGCAAAACTGTTTTCGATCAAATAAATATTAAATAAACCACTTGAGGGCAGTATTTTGAACCCCATAAATTTTTAACTTCTTAATGAGGATTTCATGATCAACCCTATCAAATGCTTTACGCAGATCCGAAGAAATACAACTCCGTTTACAAGCCCAGCATCCATATTGATTAGCCATGAATCGCTATTTGACAACAAGGACGACATTGTTGAGTGGTTCTGACGGAAGGCTGACTGACACGGGCTTAGAATGTCATTTGCATTTAGATAATCTGTTAACTGTATGCATACGAGCTTCTCAAATAGTTTAGCGACAGTTGAAAGAACAGATATCGGTCTATAATTAACCCTTTCTTTTTACCACCTTCTTTATAAATTGGTGAAACTCTTGCCACCTTAAGGTTATCGGGGAATATCCCACTACATAGGGAAGTATTAAATATGTATGCCAAGAAAGGTGCAACTGTCTCTTTGGAGTCTTTCAACAGTTTAACTGGGATATTATCTGGGCCTGTCGATTTAGACGAGTTTAATTTTTCCACTTCATTAAGTACAATTGTGCTATCAACAGTCGCAAATTCAAATATTCCAGAAGCTTCATGCGTCATGTAACTTTCAAAACCCTGCAGACTACTTATGCTTGTTATTTGGCTTGATAAGGTTGGACCAATATTAGAAAAATACTCATTAAACAGTTCGGCTATTGTCTGGCTCTCGACAACGTCTCCCTCGTCAGTTTTAATGGCTTGTACACCAGTACGTTTAGACTTTCTATTTAGCAGACAATTTAAGTGTTTCCACATAAGTTTAGGGTTTCCCATGTTTTTCTCAATTGATTTTACATAATGTTTCCTTTTAGCGCAAATGACATCTTTGTTTATCTTATTACGTAAAGCCTTATAAGCATTATGATACCACAAAGAATTATTTTTTACCGCTTTTTTCTTAAGATAGTCTCTACGATTCATATCGAGTTTTATTGTATCAGTAAGCCACGGCGTCTTTTGACTCCTCACTCTCTTGCTCCGTAAAGGAACATGTAGATGGCTACACGCAGTATAAAGAGCGAAATATTGCATGCAGTCACGGGCCTTGTTCACATGTCTACTAGCACAACGTTGTAGACTCGTGTTCAATGACAATGCAATATTCAATGCAATGAGAATTTCTCATTGATTGAGAATCTCTGCTAGATCTTACGAGAATCTATATGTGTTGAAGCTTGTCAAAACTGCAATAAACACTGCTATATTTAACTGTGAAACTATTGAAATCTAAAGTGACATTTACAGGTAAACTACGTGAAGCGTTCCTCTTTTGCCTTCCTAACTCATTTGGAATTTTCCTCATTAGCTTTGCAAATTTGAAAAACTCTTTGCAAACCCTTGAGGGAATTTGAAATGTTCCTATCGGCTGTTGCAATATTCCAATGCAAAAAACTTCATTTTAAATTTTCCTAACTTCCTGTTTTAATTTCCTGACTTCCTGTTCTGTTCTGTTCTGTTCTGAGCGTTGTCATTGGTGGATTATTTTTGTTAGCCAATGGTGGCAACACGCAGAACAGAACAGGAACTGAGGAAAATTTAATTGGCTTTTAGCAACATTGCAAATTCCCTCAAGGGATTTGCAAGGGAGTTTTTTAAATTGCAAAGGTAATGAGGAAAATTGCAATCAATTTAGAAACTCAAAAGAGGAACGCTTAGACAGCGAGCAGTCCCTCGAAGAAATGAGGGACTGCCGACAACACATCCAATCTCGTACCCAGAGTATGCCCGTTCGCAGGTTAGGTGCTGGGCATGATACTCTGGGTACGAGATTGCAATACATCAAGAAACGAAATACGCCCACTTTTCGCTCTTGTCAAATTGGCTCCGCCTTTGCATAAACATTACTATATCCAATTAAATCTATCCAATAAGAAACCGCTAATGTCATGTTTATTTACAGGGTATATAAAAAAGGTAATCGAACTTCAGGGCATGTTGTAAAAGACGGACTGGACTGGACTGGACTGAACTGGACCGGGAAAACGCGGACTGAGTCCGTGTTTTACAAATCGCGGACTGAATTTGTAAAACACGGACTGGACTGGACTGGACCGAGAAAACACGGACTGAGTCCGTGTTTTACAAATTGGCAACTAAGATTTGTAAAACGCGGACTGAGTCCGTGTTTTACAAACCGCGGGCTGCAATTTGTAAAAGGCGGACTCATTTCCTGACAAACATCGAAGTGACTCAGTCGTAAAGGTTTTGGCGGGAATTGCACTCAGTCGTGAGAGTTTTGGCGGGAATTGCGGATAATAGGTCGGTCAAGGAATAATCATATCCTGCCGGACCTAAGGTTGGTAGAAATTACTATTATTTATTTATTGTTTTGAATAAACAGCGTTCAATCTTAGGAACACGCTCAGTCATGTGGGACTTTGTGCCACTATTGTCGAGGAAACTCATGCTCCAAATGTGGCCGTTTCATGTAAATAGTTGTATGCCTGTATAGGTATAGCTCTTATTATAGCAGATATACCATTTAGTGTTAATCATAATTAGACGAAAATAGAGTTAATTCGTTTATTTTGTGTTCGTGGGGAAGATGGCGTATTAAATAAAGGTGTCTACAAATTTGCGAGAAATATGAAATGAATACTGTAATCGAATTTACCTTTCAAATATTTGTTTTATTAAACGGGGAAACTCTCGCAGGCCATCAAAACATCAAAGGTAGTGTTGTGCATATAAATTACAATAAATTTAAATTTCTCAACTTTTATTGTTGTCGTACGAGGAAGTTTCTAAAAATCGTTATTCGATTATAGTGTTCAATTCGCATATTTCTCGCAAATTTATATATACACTCGTTTTCAAAATTACGCGACCTCCCTGAAAAATACTGATGGGAAAGTACAAAACATGGACCCCCGGTCCATCACGGTTAATAGACTAAGATGGTTAGGCTAGCCGGCATACTTCAAAGAAGGCGGCGAATTATGTTGGGGATCAAAGGATTAAAAAGTCACGTGTCCGTGAAGCGGTACGCTGCGTAAACACATTGTATACTTTTGTATAGGAGCGGGTCAAATTTCTCATCAGAATATCATATTTCGTGTTGTCTAAGGAAGCTAATTTGACGGATTTATATATATTATTGTGTGGCGAATCTGTCGGGAAGCGAAAGGTGGTTTTTGAAGCAAAATGAGTGATATTGAGAGCGAAAACATAGCAGATGTCGAAGGACCCCTCGAAGCCGAAGATGACGAACAAGATGTTGATGATCGTTTCAACCTATTCTTTAGCATAACCGTAGCTGAAACAGATACAACGGAAATTGACAATGAATTTGACGAAGCTGTTTCAGAAATCGAGGGGAAGAAATCATTCGAATGCGACAAATGCGATAAAGTGTGCAAGTCGAAAGGTGGTCTGACAAGACACACAAATTCGAAACATGGCGAACCAAAGAAACGTGCGACTACGAACCTTGGCAACCTAGACAAAGAAACAGTTGATGGATTTGTTGAGGCAATCAAAGCTCGGATTATAAAGGAAGATATTTACAATAGTGAGACAAACACCGCTTTGGCCGCTGTGAAACCAACCAAGGCATTGTTTGAAGCTCTGTTGCCATTGTACGAAATATTTTGTCGGAAGAAAAATCAGGACAAATTGCTCGAGTCTTTTTATGGTCTAATTCCTCGATCGTGCGAGTTTTTAAAATGCGACGACTATAAAATAGCGAACTTGATAATGATTCAACTGCCCGATTTCTTAGTTGGCTTCTTCAATACGTCAAACGTTGGGCAAACGCAAGTAAAAGAAGATACTTCTCATGCACTCGATCAAGCTGAGACCGGACCATTGTCATATATCGCGGGATATATTATAAGCAAACTTTATCGTACGAATACAACTAAAAAGGGCAGAACTAACGAAGAAATTCAAACCTTGCTTGCAGTTATGAAATCGACTGATGAAACAGCAAATCACTTCATTGCCGCTCGAAGCAGGGGTGGACTTATCTCGCCCTGTGATGATTTGATAAATATTCTGAAAGTCACGGAGGTGTCGTTTAGATGTGAAGTCAGCAAATCCAAGGAAATATTAAGAAATATTCCTACAGAAGTTATTTGTAATTCTGTGCTCGAGTCGCCTGCTGTGAAGTCATTATGGGAGAACATTGTTTTGTCATCTGGCGTTGAGAATTCGTCCCCAACTCAAAAGTTGTGCTTGGAAAATGTGATCAAACTTTATTTAAAAGTTAGGTCTTTTTCATATGCAAAAGATTACATTGCAAAGTATAAAATAAAAGAAAAACAAACAAAAACCAAAGCACTTAGAAAGGACTTGAAGATGTCTTCCCAAGTTGAAAAATGACTTTGTTAATAAAACAAATACTTAAACAAATACCAGCACAAATGCTTTGTCATAACATTGTGCAACAACTAGCTATTGTATGCATATTTACATATTACATTTGCGTTTACCACACCAAAATATTGTTTGTTCAGTTTGCATGTAGAAAAGTTTGAAAAATTTAAAATTGAATAATATAACAAAGTAATACACCTTATCACAGAGTAGAGACATACAGTTACAGAACTAGTGTACCTACTTTTTTGTGTGCATGCTTGGCAAGTTACTAGATGTATGCATCTGATTGGATGACGACTCACTTTAACTTGCTGAGCATGCACAGTTGCCTGGTGGCCTGAAAAAGTGGGTACATGAAAACGTAAGCTTCCACAGTGTTTACAACACTCAGTTTCATCTCTGTATGTTTGTACTATGTGACCTTATGCACAATGACGTCACAAGGCTTGATGCTCGCAAGGAATGCTGGTCTTAGTAGTCATCGCCCAAGGACAATTTCCAGAAAATTTCAATAGTGGCCATTTTGAATTGTTTAATTTTCCTGGGCGATGACTAATTATGAGACCAGCATTCCTTGTGGGCATCAAGCCTTAGATGTCATTATGTAAGGGCTATTGCTCAGCCTTGGGTGTCCAAATGGGTTTTTTAAATCATTACATGAAATATGTATGCTGTTCTCAGTCGAGACATTCAGAATTAATTTTCATGTAGTGATTTAACTCCATGTAAAAATCCAAGCACTGTTTATACTGTATTATTTTATATCATACTACTTTTGTTTTACAAGAATGGTACAAAAGGCTGATCTAATCAATCAATATTTGTTGCACTCTTTAACCCATTAAGCTGCAGAGCTTCTCCATTGACGAATAAAATCATATGGCATTAGCCAAGTAAAAAAAATAGGTAGGGCACACTGGGGCGCATAGCGGCTTAATGGGTTAATTAATTTCCCCAAGACCTCATTTCCTCATGCAAGTTGGTCAAATCTAGTAAAATTTCTCCCACTCGTGCGGGCTCGTATCGTCTGCAGACATCTTACAGAAAGTGAGCAGTTCTGTGCAAAATGCAAAAGTTTCAATTTTTCGCAACAAGTCCGCTAAAAATGTGAGCCTGTGATACTGGGAGAAAAGTTACTGAATATAACCAGCGTGATGTTTTCTACACAACGGTTATTGTGATAAAAATACAAGAACATATTTGTGCATGAAATGGGGGATTTTTAACTTCATCATGCTAAAACATGGAAAAAAGGTCATAACAGTGCAAGCATAAATTAACATGTAAGTCAATAGACCTTTCCGGTGATTATGTCCACAACTACATGGAAGTGAGACTGAGGGGCCAGTAATTACCAGAAAGGTCTGTTGTCATTTGATTAAATGCCCACCTGAATAGGACAATTCTTATATCACCTGTATGGTAATACATTGTTCCTGACGAACACCAGATATTTATTATGCCATTGTAAAGTTTATGTACTGTCTGTTACAGTAAATGTTACTATAGTCCAAACAAGTGTTATTTTTTTGCCCGCTTCTTCACAGGTTCATCGCTGACTACTTGCCATTTCTGTACTTCGTAACGACCACCAACATTTCCTCTAATGACTGGGGCAATATCTCTCTGAGTCGCAATTGTCAGATCGTTGTAACCAAATTGTTGAGCTGTGGGATTATCTGATCTTCCACCTTTTGCTAGCTGATGGCCAAAATAATCCTCCAGCACATCCTGCATGAAACGTTCAGTTGGGACATACTCAAATCCCTGACTCAACAGAAACTGGACTGCTTCCACATGCGAATACACTGATATCTTGAGACCATTGTACGTCTGCAATGACAGGAACATCTTCCCCCTCTCGTCAGGCGAGTACTCACCAGACCTGGTTAAGGTACTTTTCCTCCAATCCTCAAGATATTTCAAAAATATATCAGTTAACCAAGTAAACCGTGGGTCATCACAGGAAAAGTATGGCTTGATGGAATCATTTCTTTTTTTGATGTACTCTGTTTTTGACCTAACATTAGTACAATCAAAAAAAGTGTTCATCATTGTACAAAACATGGCTGTACCGCGAACCTCTTCATTGTTGCTCTCTTCCAAAGCTATGGCCACTGACTTGCTCAGAACCTGGATCGCT